ACCTGGCATCGCATCTCAGTTGAACTCGCCCCGCCCTTCGCGCGCGAGAATGGCCACCTCCAGCTGGGAGGCCCGCGAGCCGTGGAGGTGGGCCAGGGTCCGCGCCTGCGCCGCGCGCGTCTCGATGAACGGGCGCCGAAGGATCCCGGGTCGGAACGCCTTGCTGTGCCCGCGCTGGGCGGCCGCCGCAGTCCGCGCCTCCTCGGGGACAAGGAAAGGGGCGACCGCGGCGGGCTGCTAGGGGGCGCAGGCTGGGGCCTCTCGCTGCCCCAAGGGTGGACCAGGAGGCTGGTTGGCGGTCTGCAACTGGCTGCTCGAGATGTGCACGCACTCTGGGCCCGCGGCGGGCGCGCCGACCTCGTCGGTGGGCCCCAGTTGCGCCGCGTCCTCAGGCCCCTCCTCTGGGCCGTCGAAGGGGACCCACTCGCCGCTAAGGTTGGTTGAGGCTGCCACCTTGCTGTGTAGCGGCAGGGGGTGGTCCGCCTCGCGCCCGCTGGCCGCGACGACAACCTCGGTCGGCTCCGACTGGCCCCCCTTGCTGGCGCCTGCTACGACGTCGCGGCACACGGCCTGGCTGGCGCCCAGGAAATCGCGGCCAATATCCTCGGGGAGTCGCGCGGCCCTCTTGGCCAGCGCCTCCCGCCGTTGCCGCGACCTCTTGCTGTCGGGGTCCGCCCTGGGCTCGCTGCGCTGGGCCGCAGGGGGGCTGGGCGGGACGCCCAGGGCCTGACACCATCAACGTTGACGGGCCCCTTGGAGGATGAGCGCGAGGCCGCAGCGCGTCGCCCAGGAGACCGCAGGCATGCCTTCAGCTGGCACAGGTGCGCGAAGCCCTCCATGGCGTCGCCGCAGTCCAGCAAGCGCCATTGGCCCTCGCGGCAGGTGACTGTGACTTCGGGCAGGATGAGCTCACCCCCGAGTCGGGTAACCCACTAAGCATTGCGAAGCTGGCGTGGCTCGCGGCCCCAGTCGCCCACCACAACCCATGGCGCGCGGAGCCGCGCAAGGAAGGCCCCCAGAGCAACAAGCGTGGCCCTGTTGCGCTTGTGGAACCCCGGCGCAGGGTGCAGGTAGACGGAGACGACCGCGATGTTGCCCGCTGCCGCATGGAGGACAATCGGGGCAAAGCCGCGCAGCGAGGTGCCCTTCGGGCCCCGCCAGCGGTCGATGGCGGTGGCCTGGAGGTGCGAGCGGACTGCAGTGACTCCGCCGCCAGTGACGCCGCCCTTGCCCGTGGAAATTCCAAGGGGGGCACGTCGCCTTCCACCCCGCCTTGCGGAAGGCCTCGACGATGCCGCTGGAGTGGGCCTCGGACCGATGGGGCGCAACGAACGCCAACCCATCGAAAACCTTGGCGCGGCCCGACTGGAGGACCCCCCGCACCTGCGGCCCCCGCACCGTGATGTTGCCGTAGAGGATGCGGACGTCCGAGCTGGAGCTCGGGGCGCTGCGAGCCTCCACTGCCAGCCTCGGGTTGGCCATCATCATGAGGAGGCACGCCAGCATCCCCAGGGCCGCAGGGGGCCGAGCTGCGCCCGAGCACCTGACGGCCTGCGCCCCCGGCCAGCTCGCAAGCTGCGCGGATGTCCTCCTTCGCATCGGATTGAAAGCCGCTGCCGTTGCCCATCTTAGTCCTCTTCGCGGCTAGGATGGCCGCCGCGTGCGCCTCCGCGACGGGCTTGGCCGCGACGCGGGCCTCATCGCCGCCCCCTGGTGCAAGCTGGCTGAGGGACTGGAGGAAAGCCCAGCTCGAGGCAGCCGTCTCTCACACCTTGGCCGCGGGGATCTGCGCCAGCGCTGGGCGCGGGGCAGGCGGCCCCACTGCGGGGCGTTGTGGCGCTGCAGCTTGGCCGCCGAGATCTCCTGGACGAGACGCCCCTTGGCCCCGAGGGACATCTGGCCGATCTCGACGGCCTCGGCCCCGCCCAGGCCTACGTGATACGGGCGGTCCTCGAGCTTCGCGACCACGTAGTCCAAGACGGGGATGACCTCCGCCACCTTGCCCCCCTGGATCCTCCACTGGCCGAGGTCGCCCAGGAGGGCCTTCGCGGCCGCGAGGTCCTTGGTGTGATTGGCCAGCTGCTCCTGCTGGAGGGCGAGCTTGACCTCGAGCCGCTCGACGTCGCCCCCGGCTGCGGCGACGTCGCGGTTCGACGCGGCCCCGGGACCCTCCAAGCGCTTGATCTCGCGGTTGCATGCAGCGGGGCGCTTCCCGAGAGGTTGGCTCTCCTGCCGCAAGACCTCGAGGTTGTCAAGTTCCGCCTTCCAGCGCCGCACATTTTCCTTCTCATCGCCCCCCATGTGATCGCCCGCCTGGGCCAGGGCCGAGAGCCGCTCGACGCGGGCGGAAACATCGGCAGCGTCGTCCTGCGTCGTGGCCTGGGGGGGGGCGCCCGCCTGTGCAGCGTCGGCCCCTGGTCTGCGAGCTCCTCCTCGGTGGCGACCCCGTTCGAGCCCCCATGGCGCGCTTGGAATGCATCTCGCAGAGCTTCTTCCCCATAACCGCGCACTGCCAGGGGCCGAAGTCGCCCGCGGCGCCACCCTTGCCAGGCCCGCTGCCGCGGGCGGAGGACCCCTTTTCACTCACGACCGCCTCGCCGAAGGCCAAGCCTTTTGTGGAGCTTGCAACCCGCGCAGACGAGGCCCCGCCCGCCGTCGCGGAAACGCCGGCCCATGGCGGCGCGGCAGGATTTGCAGAGCCACGGCGAGCGCTCGGCGGCGGCGCGCGGGGGGGGCCACCTGCACCACGGCCTCCAACGTGAGCGGACCAGCGCGATGGCGCCATGGCACGGCGGAGGAGGCTGCGCGACGCCCCCGACAGAGGTGCGACAAGACACAGGAAGCTTGCCGCGGACTAGTGGCATCCACTTGACTCCCGAAGAGTCTCGCATCTTGAGCCAAAATGGCCAAGGAGGCGGAGGAGAAGGAGGAGGAGGAGGACCACTGTAAACCCAAGAACCATCAACGACGTTGGAATAAACGATCCCCCCAAACTCCTCTTAACATGCCCCTACAGGGGTTCATTTCCACTGAGGTAGCTGCCTCGTTGGGAGACAACCCTTTTTATAAACCCTGGCGCATGCCAAAACATCGTTCTCTGGAATCCAACGTCACGGATCAACCCGACTGTCGCGTTTTGGAGGTCCTGAATCGCGTCGGAACGCCATTCTTGGGACATCAGCACCGCGAGCCAATGTAATTGTTGCACCCTCATATTCCTGAACCCTTCCAAAACACCATTCCTGGTACGCTGACCATCGAAACCACTGAAGCTCTTGCATTTGAAAATGATCGCGGCGCTAAGGCGAGAGCCACAGTTTGAAAAGGAACCGCCCGATGTGCGCGGCGCTAAGGCGAGAGCCACAGTTTGAAAAGGAACCACCTTCAAGCCGTGAAAGTACTGCGTACTGCAATGTTTTAAGCCGAGTGCACGCGGCGCTAAGGCGCGAGCCACAATTTGAAAACGGCAAACCTTCCATATGTGAAGGTGTTGTCAATGTTTAAACTTCACCGTCATGAATCGTGGGGAGGTCTCAGGCGAAACGCCTGGACCGCCCTGATAACTGGCCTCGGGGTGCGAAAGGGGGAAATTACTTAGAAGGAAGGGGAATGGAGGAAGAGGAGGAGGAGGAGGAAAAGGGAGAGGGAGACGGGGAGGGGAGGAGAGACGAGGAAGGAGGAGGAGCAGGATAATGAGGAAGAGGAGGAGGAGAAGGAGGAGGGCGAGCAGAAAGGCAAGAGGCCTCTGGGATGCCTCCCGGAGTCTCTTCGGATTTCTTTCGAAAGGTTCTTGGGTCCTCTTGGGGCATGTTGGGGGTTTCTTGGCAGTCCCAGGGGCCTCTTGGGGCGTCTCACGTGCCTCTGAGGGGCCTCTTGGGTGCCTCTGGGGAGTCTCTTGGGGGCCTCTTGGAAGTATCTTGGGCCCTCCTGGGGGCCTCTTGGGCCTCCTGGGTACCTCTTGGAGCCATCTTGGGGCACCCGTGGGAGCCTTGGGGACTATATTTGGGCCATCTTGGGTGAGATCTATCAAATGAGGGGGGGGGTCCTTCTTTAGGGTTCCCCCCCCCCCCCCAGGATGCCAAAATGTGGCGAAAACCTCAGTTAAATCAATGATTTGGTTTTCTCGCCGAGGCCTCTTGGGGCGTCTTGGCTGCCTCTGGGGGGGCATCTTCGGCGTCTGTTGGGGGCCTCTCTTGGGGGCCTCCTTGTTCAGAGTCCTCCCCCCCAGGAAGCCGAAATGGGTTTGCGTTTCTCGTCGAGGCCTCGGGGGGCTTCTTGAGTGCCTCTGGGGGGCCTCTTGGGGCGTCTTCGGCGTCTCTTGGGGGCCTCTTTGGGGGGGGGTCCTTGTTCAGGGCCCCCTCCCCCCCCAGGAGGTCAAAATGTAGCCAAAACCTACGTAACATTAATGATGTTGGGTGCCTCTTGGGAGCATCATGGGGTGTAATGGGGGTCTTTGGGGCGTCTCTTTGGTGCACATTGAGAGCCTTTTGGGTGCCTCGTGGGGCCTCCTGGGCACCTCTTGGAACCATCTTGAGGCACCCTTGGGAGCCTTGGGGACCATCTTTGGGCCATCGATCAAAGCAGGGGGGCTCCTTGCTCGGGCCCCCCCCAGGAGGCCAAATTGTGACCAAAACCGAAACACAATGATTTGTGTTTCCTCACCGAAGCCACCTTGGACGCTCCAGCCCCTCGCGGAAGGCCCCGTCCAGACCCAGGGGGAGCGGGGAGGGTGAGGGGCAAGCTCCTCCCCGAAAGGGAAGAAGGGGGGTGGAAGAGGAAACCCGCTAAACAACGCACGCCCAAAGTGCTGATGGGATTTCGATGAGTACGACGAGCACGACGCGCACGACGACAACGAGAACGAGTACGGCGGCGACGGCGACAGCGACGGCGAGCGCGACAAGTACGACTTCGCGGAGTGGTGCGCGGCGGAGCCGGCGGGCGAGTTCGACGCGCTGTTTCTTTGCAGCGGGCAGTTCTGGCGGCCGTCGTGGCCGAGCATGCCGCGCGGGTGGCGGCGGCGCTTCACGGGCGTGGTGCGCCACTCGCAGGCGTACCGCAATGCTGCGGGGCTGCAGGGGCGGCACGTCGTGCTGCTGGGCGTCGGCAACTCGGCGCTCGACATCGCGCTTGAGGCTGCACGCGGCGACGCAGCGTCTGTGACCATCGTCTGCCGTGGCGGCACGACCATCATTCCCGTCGCCGACGACGACGGGCGCCCCCTGGACGGCGTGCTGCTGACGCGCTTCTTCCAGAGCCTGCTGCCGCCCGCGCTGCGCATGCTCCTCTTCTACCTCCTGACGCGGGCGACCAACGAGGACTTCCGCGCCGCTGGACTGCCCGAGCCTCCCGGCGGCTTTGGCTCGGCGACGGCGGCCAAGGAGCAATTCTCGAACCTCAAGGATCCGAGGATGGCTTGTGTGCACCGTGCCGCGTTGGCGCGTCCCGAGGCGTCGTCGGTTCTCGACCCAAAATGGTACGCTGCATAAATGGTTTGTCGCCCCTCAGAGCCGAGAAACCATGCACCGTACCACGTTGGGGCTGGGCCTGAAGGAAGTCCAAACATGGTACGGTGAATGGGCACCGTTCTCGTAAAGGAGCACCGTGCGTTTCGAGCGCTGCTGCAGTCGGGCAAGATCCGCATCCGCTGCTGCGGTCGGCTGGCGGAGCTCGACGCACGGCGCGCCCTCTTCGACACCGCAGCGGGCAGCGGCGCGCTAAGCATCCCGTGCGACGAGCTCATCGTCTGCACGGGGTACCGCTCTCCTTCCCCTTCCTCGACCGCGCGCTCGCGGAGTCGTTCCACCGCCGGGAGCAGTCCGCCGACGGCGGCAAGGTTCGGGGCTAACGTAACGGGGGTCAGTGCTAACGGGGACAGCCAATCCCCTCCCACATGCTCTTGCTGACCCGCGTCTGGGAGCCACCCGGAGCTGATCCCGCTCCCCCGCCCTCCGCTGACCCAGGTTTGGGAGCTACGTCGTGGCCGGCATGGGCTCGCGGCGTGGCCCTGGCTGACCCGGGCCTGCGCTGATCCAGGTTTCAGTGCGCCCCCGAGAGGTGTTGCAGTGGCTCGAGCTGTACAAGTTCATCATGCACGCGGCGCACCCGACGCTCTGCGTCTTCTCGGCGGCGCGCCTAGGGGGGAAGTGAGAAGGAGCAGGCCTTCTCAGAAGGCGGCGGGGCTTCTCAGAAGCCCTCGCGCCTTCCGAGAAGTTCTCTGCATCTTCGGGGAAGGCTCAAAAAGCTTCCCAGAAGGCCCGAGGCCTTCCGAGCCTTCTGAGAAGGCCCGCCCCCTCTCGCTTCCCCCCATGCGCGCCACCGATCTTCGGCATCGTCAACAGCCTCGGCAACGAGTCGCTCGTCGGCGAGCTCCAGGCGCGGTGGGCGCTGGCCGCGCTCGGCGGCGGGGCGGCGCGGCCGCTGCCGGGGCTGGCGTGCATGGCGGAGGCGGTGGCGGCGCGCAGCGCCGCGGTGCGGAGGAATCGGGCGCGCATAGGAGCGACCCTTCGCCGTAGTGGCCTCTGGTGCGGGCCCACAGGGGTCCCCCGGCATCGGCCCTCGCGCTTGGATTTGGCCTGACCGCGGCCCTCCAAATCGGGACAGCCGAAGTAGGTACGGAAAGAATGGGCACAAAGACCGACAACCGTTCCGGTTCATTTTGAACAGGACTCGCTGTCGGTGTCGCCGCGACCTTTGTCCATTTGAGACAGGAGGCCGCCTGCCCAGCAGCGGCCGCTGTTGGTTTGGGGTAGCATTTGTTGTTGGGCATTGTAACCATTTTCTCCGTACCAATTTCGGGCGTCCAATCTCAAGCCGCGCACCAAAGGTCAATCTTGGCTAGGATCACTCTTGAAGTCGGGGAACAAAGGATGACATAGATATAAAAACTCGGAGGTCAACGCGGACTCTTCAGATCGACAATAGACCCCCTCCCTGGCGCGCTTCGCGCCCCAGGGGCGGCGCCGGAGGCGCCGGCAGGGGGCTCCAGCACCAGTCCCCGAAATCCGCGCGGACCTCCAAGGTTTTATGTTTGTGTCATTGTCTGCCCCCCTAGGAAGAGACCCAAGTTCGCACAATTTAGCTCGGAGGAGAAAAATATGCATATAAACATCAGGGCGAGGGGGCCGAACGAACGGTCTTACTCCATCCATGGGTGCGTGGGTGAAGTGGGATTCCGCGGCGCGGATTCTGCTTCTTTGTTGTTCGTTGTTCCCCGCCGCGAGTCACCCGCGACCCACCCGCGACTCACCCCGCGCCCCTGTCCTCACTCTTATCAGGAAATTGCGGGATGTTACGTACATGTTCGGAAGCCTGCGCGGATTTCGTGGGTCTGCGCTGGGCCCTCCTGGCGGCGCCTCCAGCTCCGCCCCTGGCTCGCTCCGCGCTCCAGGTAGTGGGGTTCCAGCGCAGACCTACGAAGTCCGGGCCCACCTTCAAAAGTTTATGTGAAGGTATTGTTTTCTCCTTCTGCCATCAATTACAAAGCGTACTGCGACGACCTGGCGGCTGACATCGGCTGCATGCCGCGCGCCCTCGCGTGGGGCTCGCTGCTGAACCCCTCCAGATGGCGGCTGCTCTGGGCGCTGCTGGCGAAGCCGATCGTACAGGCGCAGTACCGGCTAGACGGGCCCGACGCGTGGCCCGATGCCGAGCGCTTCTTGACGAAAGAGGTGGCCAGCACCGTTGCGCGGCTGCTGAAGCCCCCGCCGTCCAGGCTGTGAAATTGAGCACCGGGGCGCAGTTCAGAGATCGTCGACCATGCGCGGGATCCCGCTTCAACATGGTCCCCCGTCCTGCGTGCTCTGCCTGCGCCTCGTCTCCTGTCCCTGCGCCTTAAGAAAGTGACGCCCCTGTGTCTTGGCTTCCCCCCTTTCTTGCCTCTGTCAGTCGTCGCCCTCGCCGCTTTTGTTGTGCCCGCGCTCGCGTGTCTCTTTCAAGATTGTCGTACTCCTTCCTGCCCGCCCTTCCCTTGATGGCCAGTGTCTGGCCTCCTTCCTCGCCACCTGCACCACCAGACCGTAGGGCGTAGGGGCAGTTTCTCGTGTGATCGATCCTCGACCGCTTTGAAAATAAAAAACCATGACCCCTCGCGTAAAGATTCCCACTGGGCCCATCAGAACCGATGCCCGAGCAAGTTGTCGTGAGAAGGGCAGGGAGGGAGGGAGCATTGGTGATACAGGGAGGTGGGGTATCAATCTAATCGATCCAGTGGTCAACCCGCTCGTGGGATCCTATTGAAGGGCGTCTTGGATCCATCTGGGTGCTTTTGGGGCTCTGTTAGAAGCATGTAAAGCCTTCTTGGAGCTATCCTGGAGGGCCAGCTACCAATAATGAGGGTGCCCTGAATTAGCGCTGACCCGTGGAGCCCGAAACACATCAGCTCTTGGAGCTATCTTGGGGCCCTCCTTGTATACTGTTGGGGGGCGTTTAAGGCCGTGTTGTAGCAATGTGGAGCTATCTTGGGTTGTTGTGGGGCCATCTTGAGACCTCTGAGGCCCGCTGGAAGCGAAATTGCGAGAAGGGAGACCAGATGTAAAGCATCCTTGGAAGGCTCGTGGCCACATCGGCTTGTGGCGCTTTTTGGATATCTTGGGGGCCCTCTTGGAGACATGATGGAGGTCATGTAAGACCATGTTGGACGCTCACATGGGTCGCATCCCACGCTCCCTCCCCTCGTCCAAACCCCGTGGAATAGGGTGGCGGGAGAGAAACGATTTCCCGAAGGGGAAGAAGGGTGTGGGTAGAGTGCATACCCTAAACTACATATTTACGCCCAATGGTGGTGGTAGGATTACCATCACCAATTCGAAGCGAGTAAGGATTGTAGTTATGTAAGCTGGGGTCGTCTTGGTGACCGCTACCTCTGGCGGTGCCAGTAAACTAGCAGCCTTGGCACTCGCAAACTCTAACTTTGTAGTAGTGTTGTTGTTCAATTGGTAGTTCTGATAATTGCCAATCTCGCTATCAGTTTGTATTGATAGTCCCGCGCATCTGGTAGTGCCGGTGGTTTTCCACATCGCGGCAACGGCCAATGTCGTCACAGGGGGCGGATCAACACGTGCAGGTCGTCATTCGGCCACAGATTGCCCTTCGACCGTGGCCCAGGCCCCTGGACGGCTGCCCTGCTGTGAGAGCAGCTGTGCGCCCCACCCCCTGGTGACACGCGGCCGCTGGAGAGGGCATCGGCCCATCCGAGTTCGCCGGTGCACTTTTCGAGTATGGGATCGACTACGGAATTGGTTTACCCCAAAAAATTGATTTGCTCGTCGAGTCTGCGAGAGATATACGTAGGATGTTCCGTAGATCCAGGGAGAGTCGATGCATGTTTCGCAAATTCGACGAGCAAACGAAGTTTGGAACAGATCAATTCTGTAGTCGATCCCCTACTCGAACTTTGAACTCCTCGACAGGCTATGCCCACGGTAGGCCTGTGTCGTGTCGGCATGGCGACGACCCCAGCGCGAGCGTTCCATGTTCAACGCCGCCAGCGGCCCGGAATCGGCCAATGTGGAACGATCTGGCGACACCAACGCCGCCGACCGGTCAAGGCTGAGCAATCCACGCGGTGTTAGAAGCCAACGCCAGGGCCGTCACGACACAAGCCTGTGTGGTCAGGCGCTCCCTCCGCTGGTGCCCCAACCCCCAGGCGCCGCTTCGCGCGCCCCCCGATCCGCCCCCGCGGCCCTGCCGCTCCCGGCCCTGACCCGAGCTCCTCGGGAGATGGCCACGGTCCCAGGCCAGTCTTCGATCCGATTCGATGCCGACCTCGGCCAGCTCGATCCGATGCGATTCCGACGATCGGGTGCGGCCAGGAGTTCGCATGGCGTTGATGTGCATCCTGGCACGGCCGACCCGATTCGACGTCGACTCCATGCCGATGCTGCCCGATCCGACGCAGGTTCCGACTCGACCCTCGGTAGCAACACCGCCTTCAGAGTGTGTTAGCGTGCGCCAGCGTCTGGTAGTCGATGAGAAATCGTCGATGTAGTGTCGATTAGCGTCGATTTGACGCCGATTAGCTTCCATCAGCGTCGACATACGTCGGGCAGCGTCGATATGCAAGGGGTTGCGAGATGACATCGGAGGATCCCATGAGTTTTGGCGGCGCGCAGAGGGAGGTAGGGGGAGGGGAAAGGTTTCTTGGAAGGAGACTGCTTCTTAGAAGGCGCGGGCCTTCTTTACAGATGCAGGGTCGGCGCCCTCTAAGAAACAGCCTGCATCTACGAAGCCTTCCCCTCTCCCCCTTACCCCCTTGTGCGCGCCCCCAAGAATTGCCTCCGAACCGATCTGAGTTCCCGACTCTATGCTGACGGAGTTGCCGCTGCTCTCGTGCATCCCACCCACCTGCAGCGCCCCGCGGTCCGAGGCTGCCGGCCTGGAGCGGCCCACGCTGATCCAGCGCCACGCCGCGGCCCTGGCGGCCTTGCCCCTTCCCCCGCTCCTCCTCCTCCTCCTCCTCCTCCTCCTCCTCCTCCTCCTCCTCCTCCTCCTTGTCCTCCTCCTCCTCCTTCTCCTCCTCCTCCTCCTCCTCCTCCTCCTCCTCCTCCTCCTCCTCCTCCTCCCCCTCCCTCCACAATTATTCAATATGAAAATACTCTCCCTCTTCCCCTGATGGCGTCCGGGTGATGGCCGCGCACCCTCCGCGTACTGTTTTTTTACACAGGATTCCCGGGAAATCCCGGGAAACGACTCTCGCTGAGGCGCCGGCGTCATTTTTTCCCAAAATGCTGCTCTCGTTGAGGCGCCGGCCTCATTTCTGCTCCCGAATCGTTCCGAATCGTGCTCCCGCTGCAGCGTGGGCCTCATTTTCGGATCGGTGTTTGGCCTCCGTCGTTCAGGATGGCGTTCTCGCCCCAGCGCGGGCCTTTTTCTCGCGCGCCCATCCGCCCGCCACCACCGCGCCGCACCGCCACCACCACCACCACCACCACCACCACCACCACCACCACCAGCACCAGCACCAGTACCACCACCACCACCAGCACCACCACCACCACCACCACCACCACCACCACCACCACCACCACCACCACCACCACCACCACCACCACCACCACGACAACCACGCACACACGCACGCACGCACGCACGTGCACCACCACCCACTACGCACGCGCGCGCGGAGCCACAGGTCCGCTACGACACGCGTCCGCGGATAGAGAAAATCAGCGCCATGGGAAGGGATGGGAGGGAGGGGTAGGACGTCAGATATGACGCGAGCGCACCTAGCTTGTCATCCTCCCCCTCCCTCCCTCCCTCCCTCCTACTCTCCCTCCCTCCCTCAGGGCCCATTCTGATCCGATTCGGTCCGATTCGATCTCGACTTCGGCAGGTCCGATCCCCAGGCCTCCAGCGAATGGACGAGGCAAAGCTATAGTTTTTCTACGCGTGTTCTGCCTCCGTGGGCCTTCGCCGGGCCCCTGGACTGTCAGACAATGACTCGGGATGAGAAGTTGGCCTTGGAGAAACGGTCGGGCCTCCAGGGACCCCGTTTTGAAACAAATACATCGGATCTCTGGGTACGATTCGATCGATTTTCCGACGATCCGATGCGGCCCGATGTTTCCATAGCGTGGCCGATCCGATCCGGCTCGATTGCAAAACCGTGCCGATGCAGGCCGATCCGACGCACGCTCCAATCCGATTCGATTTCGCGATTCGATGTTGGCTGATCCTGCCCTGCTTCGGTAGTCCAGGACGGGACCCCGAAGAGTGGCGGTTCCCATAACGCCCTTGGCGCGATCCCGAATCACAGGTTCCATTTTTACCTAACAGCTTTTGCTGATAGGTTTCTAGTGGGGTCAAAAGAGAGCAGCAGATGACTCCACAGGTGGGTCGGGGCGGCATCCGGGGAGCTGTGTCCGAACTCGTGTCCGAATGCGCGTTTCGCAAACAGTCACACACTTCGTGCTCTTCGACTTCCCAGAACACCATTCCCGGGCCACATTTTGAATGCCCGGAGCCAACTGTAGGCCACTCCGTGCTCTTCGACTTCCCAGAATTCCATTCCCGGGCCACATTTTGAATGCCCGGAGCCAACTGTAGGCCACTTCGTGCTCTTCGATCTCCCAGAACTCCATTCCCGGGCCACATTTTGAATGCCCGGAGCCAACTGTAGGCCACTTCGTGCTCTTCAAGTTCCCAGAACTCCATTCCTGGGCCACATCTTGAATGCCCGGAGCCAACTGTAGGCCACTTCGTGCTCTTCGACTTCCCAGAACACCATTCCCGGGCCACATTTTGAATGCCCGGAGCCAACTGCAGGCCACTCGTGCTCTTCGAGTTCCCAGAGCTCCATTCCCGGGCCACATTTTGAATGCCCGGAGCCAACTGTAGGCCACTTCGTGCTCTTCGAGTTCCCAGAACACCATTCCCGGGCCACATTTTGAATGCCCGGAGCCAACTGTAGGCCACTTCGTGCTCTTCGAGCTCCCAGAACTCCATTCCCGGGCCACATTTTGAATGCCCAGAGCCAACTGTAGGCCACTTCGTGCTCTTCGAGTTCCCAGAACTCCATTCCCGGGCCACATTTTGAATGCCCGGAGCCAACTGAGGCTGAGGCAGGCTGCTGCTGAGGCAGGCTGAGGCTGAGGCTGAGGCAGGCTGAGGCTGAGGCAGGGAGGAGGCTGAGGTTGAGGCTGAGGCTGAGGCAGGCTGAGGCTGAGGCTGAGGCTGAGGCAGGCTGATGCTGAGGCAGACTGAGGCTGAGGCTGAGGCTGAGGCTGAGGCTGAGGCTGAGGCTGAGGCAGGCTGAGGCTGAGGCTGAGGCAGAGGCTGAGGCTGAGGCTGAGGCTGAGGCTGAGGCTGAGGCTGAGGCTGAGGCTGAGGCTGAGGCTGAGGCAGGCTGAGGCTGAGGCAGGCTGAGGCTGAGGCAGGCTGAGGCTGAGGCTGAGGCTGAGGCTGAGGCAGGCTGAGGCTGAGGCTGAGGCTGAGGCTGAGGCTGAGGCTGAGGCTGAGGCTGATGCTGAGGCAGGCTGAGGCTGAGGCTGAGGCTGAGGCTGAGGCAGGCTGAGGCTGAGGCAGGCTGAGGCTGAGGCCGAGGCTGAAGGCAGACTGAGGCTGAGGCTGAAGCAGGCTGAGGCTGAGGCCGAGGCAGGCTGATGCTGAGGCTGAGGCAGGCTGATGCTGAGGCAGTCTGAGGCTGAGGCTGAGGCAGGCTGAGGCTGAGGCTGAGGCAGGCTGAGGCAGACGCTGAGGCAGGCTGATGCGGAGGCAGGCTGAGGCTGAGGCTGAGGCTGAGGCTGAGGCTGAGGCTGCAGGCTGAGGCTGAGGCAGGCTGAGGCTGAGGCCGAGGCTGAAGGCAGACTGAGGCTGAGGCTGAGGCTGAAGCAGGGTGAGGCTGAGGCTGAGGCAGGCTGAGGCTGAGGCTGAGGCAGGCTGATACTGAGGCAGGCTGAGGCTGAGGCTGTGACTGTGACTGCCGTTGCCACTGCGACTGTCATCGCGAATGCGACTGCGACTGCGAGAACAGGAGAATTCTACAACTGGATTCTCATCTGGATCTTAAGGGGAATGTTTCCATATATGCTTCTACACATCGCTGTTAGGTTGCTTTGCCAGGATAATTTGTTGACGGCATGTATAGCCATCATGGGATGCGATGCGATTCAAAGCACGATGGCGCAAATCATGATATCCAGCATATAGATAAAATCGATATAGAACGCCGCCAAGCGGCTCAGTACATACTTATAGCAGCATTGTCTACCCTTGCGTAGCACAGCGTTGCAAATCATGGCGTTGCGCCGCGTTGCGCAGCGCACCAAGACATGACTAAGCACAGCATTTCAGCGATGCCCCTCGAAGCGCCCAAGAGGGCCCTGGGAGATGCACACGAAACGGATGTGCACTTCCAGACGACAGCGCTTTCTCTCAAGGGGCCTTCACTTGAGGCGTTCTGAAAGGCCCTTGCCTTCGGCGCACCCCGACTTCGGCGGCATCAGCCAGACTTGGACGCCTGGGGAGCTGGCCGGACATGTTGGGTTCAGGCGGATGTCTCGAAGAAGAAGACAAATCAGCGAAGACAAACTTCCAGACGGCCGCGTGGATCTCCTGGCCCAGCGCCTGGATCCCCCCCCCGCCAGTGCCTCCTGCGCCGCCCCTGGCGCGCTCCGCGCGCCAGGGAGGGGGGCCTGGGCACCGCTTCAAGAAATCATCGCAGGTCTTCGAAAGTTCATGTTTGTGTTGTGTTGGTTCTTTTCTGGGCCGGGTCGCTGTCGCCCCCATCGGGCTTACACACATTTTAAGTGAGCGGCGAAGAGGGTCCTCAAGCGCGGGCAGTAGATGAACGTGTAATTGCGATCGAGCGTAGCCGAAAGCATAGTGAACGAGACGTCGAACACGGGGATGCAAACGATGGGTGGTGGACTAGAGGGCCGGTAAACCCAAAAAGAGGGGTTCACACACACACACACACACACACACACATCGTGGCTTTCTGTTCACGGTTTCGGGCGTGGGCTGTTGGGCCGCGGCGTCGCGATATGCTTAAGGGGCGCGTCCAAACTTCAGAATTCCCAACAATCCTATGGTATTGGGTCCTCGTTTCGAAAGACAGTGCCCCGCGTCTTCCTCTCCTCCTCGAGAACGGGGGATTGTGGAGTCGCAGGGGTTCAAAAGCGCGCGCGCGAGGCTTTCGCGCTGAGTTCGCGACTGCTCCTGTGCAAAATCTGCTCTGTGTCGTCCTCCTCCACCTCCTCCTCCTGCTTCTCCTCCTCCTCCTCCTGCTTCTCCTCCTCCGTAGCCATTTTGGCTCAAGCCATTTTGGCTCAAGCCATTTTGGCTCAAGTAATCCATGTCCCGAGGCAGCTGGCCAGGTCAGCTTCGGGGGGCTCCCAGCAGCGGCCCGACACCACTGGCTGCTGGAGCTCCCCCTTCTGGGCGAGTGCCCCACACCATTGCCAATACGAATCTTTCTCCGCAGACACGACTTTGTTTTTCCGCATGGCTTCTGATGGCTCTGGCAGCTCTTCTGATGGCCGAGGGGTCCGTGACGAGCACAGCCGCAGTGGGGGCGAGGAGCGCCCGCGCCGCCGCGCTCGGCGCAAGGCCTGGGCTGACATTGGCAGAGGCCCCGCCGACCGCCCTGCCCCGCCATCCACGCGTGCCCCTGCCCACCGAGAGCGCAGTGAACGCGATCGTCTGCGGCGCGGCGACGGACCTGTCAGCCTGGCGGCCCCACCGCAGTGGGCTGGTGCAGGCAGCAGCACTGGTGCCACGGCGCCAGCCAGCGCGGCAGCCGCGGCCCCTCCTGCCCCAGATGCCCTCCAGACATGCGATCCCTGGCGGGGTGCTGCGGCAGCGGGGCCACAGTTCTCCACCCAAGAGCTGCGTGACATCGAGCGCGACTTCCAGGTGCTGGAGACGCAGGATGACACGGCTACACCAGTTGGTGGGACGGCCACG